TTACATATTTATATATATATATCACGTATATCATATTATATATATATATATATATCATATATATATATATATCTATATCTATATATATATACATATATATATATATGCATACATATACACACGTATATGTATCGATATATTTATATCTATATATATATCTGTATCTATATGTATATATATACATATACATATATATCTATATGCAAGTGTGTATACCGCTGTATGAATGTATGTATGTATTTGTATATGTATATAGAGAGTGTGTGTTTTATGCTCGTATAAATGTATATATGTGAGATCGTCTTTTAATTGCTTCTTTTGTGCTATCTTTATGCAGCATTCGTTTTGGCTGTTTCAGACGAAAGCAGAATTGAAGAAATGCGTTGGGCGTCCTTCTATGTTCTTCTAGTGTGCTACTACTCTCATTCTCTGGCTATATCTGGCAGGCTGAAAGGCTTGCCATGACTTGGCGATCCAGCCTTGGTTTCTGGATATTGATTTCCTTTCATGTACTTTTTTTTATTGACTAGGTCGGTACACTTGATAGTCTTGTGGCCTTATCAGATGACTTAGTGAAGCTAGACCCTTACGTTGAGGGTGTCGTTAAAAAGATTACCACTATGCTACACGATCTACTAGAGGACCATCTGGACAAACTTGGCGAGAGTATGACGGCTGATAATCTTCCAGTGGAAGAATATGTCAGGTAAGAATTCGTGGGATATTGACCGTGACACGTCATTGTGACACATAGGCGTATGGTATTGGGTGAACGGACAGGGTCATATATATGTATGTATGTATGTATATATATATATATATATATATATATGTATGTATGTATGTATGTACATGTATATATTTATATATGTATGTATGTGCATATATGTATGTATGTATATATATATATACGAAAGTCATCCAGCACGCTTTGGTTGACTATATTCTGTGCGTTTCTGCCAGATATCTAACAAGAAAATGGAAACCGATAATGTGAATACTTGTATGTTTATGTAGGACATATTCTGTTTCTGTTTCCCTCGCTTTTTAGACGTTTCCAATGGGACATCCGCAAATATTCCGTCAAGAACTCCACACGTGACTTGGTAGATGATATTGTGGCGAAGGTTACAGAGGTCGAAAACGAGCTCAAAGCCAAGCAGCTGCATTATACCACGGTATGTTGAATTAAAAACCTTCTCGTTACGAGTGCTTGCAAAGTACCGGACTCCTGTTTAGAGCTAGTCGCTCAAAGTAAACAACTTAATATACATTTATCTCACACATCAGGTCAAAAATGCATTAAATGGTATTGAGCGTGGAAACCAAGGGACACTCTTGGCCAGGAACCTGGTCAACGTGGTGAATGCCGAGGACGTGATTGTGGGATCTGAGCACTTGCAGTCAGTCATTGTGTGCGTGCCTACATCAGCCTCTAGAGAGTGGCAAGAGTCCTACGAGAAACTCACTGATGTAAGTATCTGGTATCTTGGTGATTCTTATCACAATATGTACACGTGTATGCGTATAGTCATGTGAATATTGTATACTGAATGCCGAGGGTGTGTTTGTAGAATGTAAGCGTTTGCTGTTATTTTATGTACGCTTGTCTATTTTAGCATCTTTGGGGTGACAGCGGTCTTGTGCGATTATCATCGATGTTGGTATCGGGTTTGCAATGTCTTTATTAATTTATATTAGTATGGTGTTGCTGAATGTCGATGTTGTGGTTGGTCAGAGACATTGCAGTCAGTCATTGTGTGCGTGCCAACGTCGGCCTTGAAGTACCCGGTACCAGATAAGTTGTAAACATTAATGTGCACCTCAACAAAATGTATCCGATTAAGATTCAGTGCATATGAACGTGTACATATTATCCTCAACATATTTTGCATACTCAACAAATATACAGATGGTCGTGCCTAAATCTGGACGCAAGATCATAGAAGAACAGGATTACGAGCTTTGGTCCGTCACACTGTTCAGACGTGTCGCTGAGGACTTCAAGAACGCCGCGAGAGAGAAAAAGTTCATAGTTAGAGACTTTGAATTTGATCCCCACGCCAAACAAAACGCTGCCAAGACACGGAAGGTGTGTGAAAGGGTATCGCCTGCCTACCTGGATCTATACTGCGTGTATCTGATAACAATTGGTCGTATGCATGTTTGTTTTGTTTGGGGTGTATATAGTTCTGTAGTTGTGCGCAATAGAACTTGTGTGAATCATCGAAAGGAAGTGTACTGAAGTTTCTTTTATTTTGTTCTTTGGTTCCGTGTATATAGGAACTTAAACACACTTGCCCGCTTGTCTAGAACAATCTCCTTGACCCGCGCTGTACATTCACAGTATGCCTCGCCCAATACATGTACATACACGATCATCAGAGCCAGCCATACCCAGTAAAATGCTTCCATTGTTTTATGCTATCAACCTTTCTTATGGGAAAGAATGTATTTCGCAATTGACCCGATCCTTATCATTCAACCAGACGATGGAAATGGAGCTCAAGAAACAGTGGAGTGGACTGGTGCGTTGGGGCAAGACATACTTCAGCGAATGCTTCACGTCGTGGATGCACATTAAGGCGATTCGCCTATTTGTTGAGAGTGTGCTGCGATATGGTCTACCTGCCAATTTCCAGGGCATGCTGCTATCGCCACACAAGAAGAAAGATAAGCAACTCCGCACTTCACTAGAGGTAATAGAGCTTTGGATCCTTGTTCTGATGACCATTTGTTTTCAGAATATGCCGCATGAAACGTAGCTTCATTTCTTGGTTCTTATACAGGTTTATATTCTTATATACATGGCTTATATTCTTATATACATGGCTTGTATTCTTATACACGTGGTTTATATTCTTTTATACATGGTTTATAAGGTGGGCTTTAGCTAAAAATTTATCTTGCTTCTATGTGCACCGTAGGACCTGTACCAGCATCTGGAGAACCGGTCGGGACAAGACAGCAAGGGGGCAAACAACGAAGACGACGCACCTGCCGGTCTAGGAGTAGGGGACTACTATCCCTATGTATACATAGGCTTCTCACTGGGCTTTATCGAGAAGGCGAAGAACTAGCTAGCTTTTCATATGCCGCATTACATGTCTCGAGTAAGGAGAATGTACACACCCTCATCACATCTGTATGTGAGTATTCCCTGCAGTGTCAGATTGTGTTTCAGCACATTCTGGAGGGCAGAGGAAGTAAAGTGAGCAATAGTATGAAGAAGGAAAATGTAGTTGAGTTGTTGGGTCTGGTGATTAAAAGAAAAATTTGCAATACACAAGGATGCGTCGTTCATGCTCATCCTTTTTTTTTAAGTGACAAAAAACTAGTCTCTATTATTTTCTTACCGTTTGTTGTGTCTATTATTTAGTTGTTATACTATGGGCTGGAATGACAGTTAGGTCCTATATCCGTAAGCTTGTCGAGGGACTGCATACATGTAGTACTCCATGTTCTTGTATGCGAAATCCCAACGCATTGGCAAAGCGCATCCAGACTAGCTATGTTTATTACTTGGTACATTTAAACGTAAATAAATTACGTATTAAATATATGGCACATGATGTAATTGGTAATTCACTACACATTCAGACAATCAGCTGTAGTGTTCCACACGTCATATTAGGTGCTGCTAGTTCTGCTGCTGTTTCATTTTCCTGTATTGCTTATAAAAAACGTGTTCAATTAGATCGGATTTTGATCGGGAAAACCGAAAGCATTGAATTGATACTGGACCAGTATTAGATGTGTTGTGTGTCCTCATGATCCTTTTAGTAGCTGCCCCCTCACTTTGAGTTCGCGCGTATCCCGTTGTGGTTAACAATACCAATGAGTACTACAACCATAGCCTTGTCATTTTGTTTAGTCTATCGAACCAGTTGTTTTACCTTTTTGTTTTTATATATACTTCAGAAAATGAGTGGCTCTCAGAGCAGCAGAAGGTTTGTGAGCGTGGTTGTCAAATATTTTTTTTGAAGCTCTTATATACAATGATTTCGATGACCTGAGTAGCGACATCGACTTGGATTCCCTGTCGTGTGTGGTAGGTATGTCTTATATCTAAAGGGACTTTAACGTGACCTGTAGTCTGAAATATGCAGTTTCTCTTTCGTCTTGATATACCGTATATTCTAACTGGAATTGGTATAGCCTTTGATGGTGACGATAAAGCTTTTGCAATTTTTTCAATTTATCTAGTATTGCACGGGTGAGTTTTGGGTTTCATACATTGACGGTTTAGTCCATAGCTTTGGTAAGTGAATTTTGGTTTAATGATAATATTGTGATTAGGTATAAAGTGATCGGGTTCTAGGCGTCTTCTCTAGCGCAAAGCCATAATCATTGATTTGGGAGCGGCGCTTATCGAAAGTTCTGTTGGTTCTTAAAATAAGATACAAATATGTGGTGTATTTGTCTTTTTTTTTTATAGGTTTCGAGGTGCAAGTGATGTATTTATCAGTGTTTTTAGTTCCGAGGCGCCAACACAACTCACACGAACTGTCAAACTTACACTCAGATCAGACTATATTTGTGCACGTTGAAGTGATTGATTTCTTCCGAGTGAAGATTTTTCGAAGAAAGAAAGCGAAGACTCTTCACATTAATTTGGGTATTGCATATTCAAAGGCATGTGATGCGGTCGTACTGCGTCGATCAGCGTCACATATGTACTTGCTTGACACTAAAACTCTCTCACCTGAGCTTAAGTCAAGATTAGGCGATCTTATACATAACACTGTATAAATAAAAAAGTAGCGAGGTGCACAAGTGTAATGCACACCGTGTGCAAGACGTTTAATGCAGTTCACGAACTTTGCACGTCGGAATATCAATGTCAATGACGCTCAAGCGAGAATGTGTATATGAGCACAGTCGCGCGTGTTTTATTTAGTTCACCTCCTGTGGCTGGTTTACATGATTCAATCGTCGCGCATTGAACGGACCAATCAACCCCTCCGGTCAATTAGTAATCAAATGATCCGTGCGCCTTATCAGGTGCGGCAAAGAATTGGCGAACCGCGTATACCTGTGTAAATTCATAAACAAACGTCCTTGAGTCAATATTGAACGATAGCAATTGAGAATAAGAGGCATACCCGTGTGAAGTGCATGCTATTTGCAAGCCATCGGTACGATTCTCTATAACTTATGTCAGAAATAAAGCAAGAAAGGCATTGGCAGAGTAAAATATTGCAAGGGCATGCTCGAGTAAATGGCAAACACGCACATCGTTTAAACGACAACTAATATAATAT